TTTCATTTGAAGGAGAACAGGCAATACATGACCAAAACAAGAATTCTTATCACCTTGTAGGAAGTCAAGCGCAGAAGCAATAGGTTCCATGATTTATATATTCTTCCATAAAAAAGATTTGACAATCTGTAAATTTGGATTTTTCTAAATTTTCACAAACTTCTAAACTTTTTTTATATTTAATTGTTTAATATGATTTTAATGTTATTATAAAAACTGTTTTATCTCGTTTTACAACATTTACAAATCTCATAGAATATACCGGCTGCTTTTGTCGACTGGCTGACTAAATTTCAAATATCGGTTCACCTTTCAAAAACTATATTTTACAATAAGATTAATCATTCTAAGTTTTTAATGAATCATGAAATGCGAGTAAATTTAATGTGTGAGCAATATACCGAAATTGCCTAGAAAGATTAATTTTAGATTCACCACTCAGGTTGCTTTCAAAATCAATTGTTAAGATGTTTACTTCAGGACGTTTAATTCGGCACGATTTGTACTTCTCGGTCGATTTTCGACTCGGCTCTGCCTTTCGCTATTCTTCTCACCTCATTACCCCGCGCGCAGTCCAAATGCCGTTTGATGTTTAGTAGCGTAAGTATAATGTATTCGTAGACATGAGGTCTATCCGCTTTGGATGCTCACGCTGTAAACTTTATTCTATTTTTTTTTGTTCATTTTATCTTAGTTATGTAATTTGCCATTACACATAAAAAAAATCAATTTTCCATTTTTTCTAAACTTTTGTTACAATTAATAGCTTGAGATTCACTATCTGCTCCACTCAACTTTGCAACTGGTTGGTACAACATCAGATAATGTTGAAGATGATTCGTTTCTCACCGCATTTCCACTGGAATTGCATACTGGGAAGTCAGAACTGCGATTTTGCGAAATACTCGTACAGTTCGACACTATATTTAGTGCGATAAGCGGTAATTTTTAAGATCTACCTTGCTGAAGATGGCTCAAAGCGTGAGCTGAACCGCGCGTACAAATTAAATTTATTTGTTAATATTGATTAATTATTGCGCAACATAAAATCTGGCGCCGACTCCTAACGCTCAGCTTAATGTCTTATTTATATTTATTATTACATTAATTCTTCAATTAATTCTATAAAATATGGATTCTCAACCAAAGATTAGGTTGCATCTTTTTCACGATAAATTGTTGAATTAGTTCGTTCACCTGAAAATCAATAATGCATACAAAGCATTAATGATATATTAATGATCCATAAAATCCATACATCGTTGGAAAAAAATATGTCAAATTTAACGTAAATCGCATGGTGGTTCACTCAAATTTTTGTGTTAATTTAATATATGATGAATATGTTACATCAATTAAATGGTTGTACAAATTATGAATTAAAATTTTAATTTTAACCTTTTATTATATCAGACATATATATATGCGTGCGTGCGTGCGTGCATGCGAGCGTGCGTGTGTGCGCGCGCGCGCGCGCATGTGTATGTATATTTTTATCTATATAAATTATAAACGGGAATATAAATATTAGAATCTAAGCATACTTTTGCTTTTATTTATTTTTATCTGCATTTTTTTATATTTGCAGTCCATAGAGATATTTGTTTTTCAAGTTTCTTATTATGCTATTAGGAGAATCAAGAGAACTACTTTTGCTCAAGGCTTTATTTTTCATTTGCTTTATTTTGGGATAGATGGATGTAGTCGCTGTAAATAAGTAATAATTGTTAAAAATAGTTTAAATAAATAATAGCATTGATGACCAAAGAATAGTTAAGATCCAGTACATAATATTTATAAAATATTTACAAAATATTTGTAAGATTTATTTTGAATATTTTGTAAATATTTTTGTAGTCTTAGATTGTACAAGTCATAAATACTTATTATAAATATTATAAAATATTTATTGTATTGTAATAAAATTTATGAAAATATTTAATAAGATATCATAATTAAAATTAAAAATATTTACTAATTATAAGTAAGAATGTTCAAGCATGTAACAAACGTCGAAGCTAGATATTTATTAATGTTTTTTTAAATAATTCAATGTGAATTGTACACATACATATATGTACATGCATATATACCATATTTGTAACTATTTAAACTGCGCGCCGAATTGATTTTTCGGACTTACAAACGCAATTAAATTATTGGAATAATATCACAAAATTAATTAAATTAAATTGACAAGCAAATTTTGATGTTCAATCCGATATCATATTAGAAGGATATGCTGTTAATGCTGAAAACTTTAAATAAAATTACAAAAAATATTATGTCGGCCGGAACTTGAATCCAGATCTATTGTATTCTGTACGAGCGTCCTAAGCCATTAGATCATCGAGGTCTAATAGTATTCTTCGCAATAATCGGTATATGTAGGAACAATGATGCCTTTTTCAGACAGCGTATATAAACAATAATAAATGATTTTATTAAGACCGTAACGTAATAAATACTAATTGTAAGAATATTCAAGCCTATAACGGTCGAAACTAGATTTTTAATGCTTTTTTAACTAATTCAATGTGAATTATTATATATATATATATATATATAT